TTATGGAAGTTCAAAACAACAAAGTTTAACATCTCAAATCGTTATGTTAGTTTTGTAAATTGTACAACACTGGCCATTAATATGTATGTTATAGTGAATGAATGTTCCTTGGCTGCAGTTTGTGTTAATTTTGTTTTACGCCGCAAATGTGAATCCCACCCTGGCCTCCTTCAACATGAAGATGTCACGCTGTGATAGAGCCGAACTGATGCTGAAAGCGGCGCATAATTATAGCACCTCACCATAACAAAAATATTCTCCACAAAAATAGTTACTGTCATCAAATTCTGATATAACACATAGAACACATCAAAAGCACCCCCATATTCTTTCTGTGTATTGCACATGTATAAACCGCATTTATCCCCACACCTCTGCTCAGTGTACGGTTCATGTGTGTTCCCCGATCAATGGATCCGTATTCATTCCAGTTATTCTCAACTCCATGGCGAGTATACAACAATGCTTTCTCAAGGCACTAGAAATTGTTTTCATTCTCCTCACATATCGGGTACGACCCGTGAAGATTCGGGGTAGAATTGATCTTCGCCAACCCATGCGTGCCATAAAAGGCGACTATGATTGTCGTACGAGGCGACTGACGAGATCGGGTGGTCAGACTCGCTGACTTGGTTGATGCATGTCATCGATCCCAGTTGCGTGGGTCGATGTTCATGGTGCCAATCACTGGATTGTCTGGTCCAGACTCGATTATTTACAGACTGCCGTTAATAGCTGGAATATTGCTGAGTGTGGCGTTAGATAACAAGCAAGCAAAGAAACAAACATACCTGGTACCCTTTCCCTTGAACCATGCCACTAGCCCAGTGTGACACGACACGTTTTGACACTTGTGTTTCGGGTGTATGTACGTATGCTCACCATTTGGTCATCTGCCTTCGGATGAGTGTTTTCTTTTGAGGACAGGGTGAATGTGCTGTACACTAGGGGTAGTGACAACGCTGTAAGGACCTGTAAACAATGTTGCCCCAAGGCTGAATAACAACCCCGTCACTAGTGGGATACGATCTCATCACCTGGCCCTTGCTTGACTGCTTGCGAGCAGTGCTGTCTTTGGATATGTAAAGTGTTGTGGAGTTTGTCTGAACGAAACGCCCTCAGCCACTCAAATAATGTTGACTATCCGATTTATATAAACTATCCGATCTTCCAGTTGCTAATCAATGTTTTGGAATACGGGGGAGGGAAGTGACGATAACTTAAATAGATACTACCTTTCAAATCCAGACATCTTGACCTCTTTCAACCTCTTTGTGTTCTATCAGATGCAAGAACGTCCGAACTTGTGACTCTCCCACACGCCATAGCCCTGTTAACAACGAACTAAAACAACTTTGCAGATTGTTTGAGACCTCAAAACAAATTCATCAGTTGTTTCTCGTACACATGTGACGACAACTACTGACAATCAAGTTCATATACAGACCCCCTTCATCACTGTCAAGTGTCCTTGGTGCGACTTCCGGTATTGTTCGCCGGCCATCTTGGTCGGAGCAGGTGCGCTGTGGGCATTGAAGTGCTCCTTCATGACGGGGTGGAGCCGACGGATTCCGAATGCTCGACCACTTCAATCGGAATACCTTGCATTGTTGACGAAGAGGACTGGTAATTTAGTGGTCCATCACTTTTCTCCGTACATTTTGTTCGTTATTGAGGCTACTTGTGTTGCGACGTATGGTATGCAACCAGTCTCCTTGCAGATAGCCACCGGTTAAACATGTTTCCCAAATGAGCTTCAGTGCCGAGAAACCAGCATCTGCAAGATTCACTGAAAGATCGCAATGTGTACATTGGACTACACTTGTTATTGCGTGCGACAACGCTGATTGGTGCATGCCCTTTTCGTTTAGATGCAGAACTTGCTGGTTCCTGAAATCGTATGCGTTAAATCTGTCTTTCGCAACTGTATAAGAGGACGACATGAACAACAAATACAGTAAGAAGAAGAAGAGGAAGCAACAACATAGTTGTCTTTGTTGACCATATTGATCATGTTGACAACGATGATTATAATGATGATTATATAATTTCGGGGCTTCTTACAAAGTCGTGTTTGACAAAGACCGTTGTCTGTGTGTTTGAGTGTTGTAACTTAATGCAGTTCACATTAACAGTGAAACTTTGAAATGAAGTTCAAGGTCGTAAGTTGACGCGGCAAGAAATGTTGATATTTCGACATAATGTTTGTTTATCTATTCAAGCGTATTTGTTTGCGATTCCTGCGATAGATAGCCTTGTCAATTTCAAGTATACTATTTCAATGTATTTCAGTGTTGAGCCCATTTCTGGCTGGAATATTGCTAAAAGCGGCGTAAAACCAAACTCACTCACTCACTCACTATGCATCTCTGGTGTTCATGAACAATAATAGGGACTATTGGGAATAGATTATCTGGACGGATATTATCATAGACGCCCCCTTTCAACTGATGCCTATTACAGACCCGCCCACACGTGATGGTATTACGCAACGTACAATACATGTGTATGTCTATAAAGCAGCGATAGCTCGAACGGGTGAGAAATAATATACAATTATATACTTAGACTTAACATGAGGTCAAAACCTGTATGTATGCACTCTACAAAAGAAATATCGATCGATGTCATTTATCAGGTAAAAACATATTGACCTCATGTATAGCCTATAATTGTTTTATCATATAATAAAGACATTCAAGATAAAAAAAAGTATGTTAGGAGGTTCAACAAACGGAGACATCTGATTGGCAGAGGTTAGGGGAAATATCGCAGGAAGAGTCGCATATGACGCTCCTTGAAGTCTTCGAAAAGAGAGCATGCTCAATTGTACCTAAAAAGCTGCGAAACGTAGACACCAAAGGGCTGGAGCTGATGGAATATTGCTTGACATGGAGGGAAAGTTGAACACAGGACGTTCAAGTCTTCACTCTTGACTCTTTATGCATAGATCCAAAAATGAAACGGAAGAAGCGGTTTCATTTAGTATTTTTTATTTCTGCCTCAGGTTGAGTAAATAGGTGGAAGGGAATTGGCTATTTGACCATAATCGAACGATGTCAGATCATCGATATACCTGAAGCTTAAGTTAAATGTCTTGGCCACATTAGCTTGCTTTGATTTTGCCAATCCGAGAAGACATTTTCCCTCGTATGCATGAAGAAAGAGACAAGCATGGTGGGAAGTACATGTGATGCCTAAATGTCCTGTTCCCAAATATCTGTATCTTTGATGAAGTCAAGCATTTCACATAGTGTTTATATCAGTAAACTTTAGACGACGTTTGCTTTCATTTTATAGAAATTGTCTAACCTTTGAAGATAGAGACGTAACTTTAAAAGAAACACAATCAATGTATCGCTTATTTGAAATTGCTCTTTTTTCATAAATACTTACGTTGAATCAAAATGTCATTCAAAATCATTTTAATTCTTTGATTTCCCAACCTTCCTTGACATTTAATTTCATTTTTCCAATGAATTATACCACTTCTTTGAGGAACACGATTTCCTTTATGTATCATGCATAACCTATTTCACACACAACACTGTATATTCTCAACACCCATCTCTCTATGTTCAACTCACAACCATATACATCTCTAAACCAGACTCTCTATGTTCTACACACAACCATATGCATCTCCACACTCATCTCTCTTTGTTCAAAACACAACCATATACATCTCCACACACATCTTTCCTCTTTTTGAGGAACTATTTTACTCCGCGATGTAGCTGGTTGTTGTATGGCTGTCAGTGTAAACATGAAGTCACACGTACTAATTAAAATTGTTTTAAGATCTTGGCCTACATCCTTTGAGGTAAGAAATTGTGATAAAAAAATTATAAGAATGGACTTTCACTTTGTGTGAGTTCATTGGAGTATGAACCTTCATAGAGTGAGGGCCAAACATTGTATGAACCTCGTCACAAGCTCCGACGTTCATACAGTTTGGCCCTCACTCTATGAAGGTTCATACTCCAATGAACTCACACAAAGTGAAGGTCAATTCTTAAGTGTTCAACACACAACCATGTACATCTCCACACCCATCTCTCTATGTTCAACACACAACCATGTACATCTCCACACCCATCTCTCTATGTTCAACACACAACATTAACATGTACATATCCACACCCATCTCTCTATGTTCAACACACAACATTAACATGTACATCTCCACACCCATCTCTATGTTCAACACACAACATTAACATGTACATCTCCCCACCCATCTCTCTATGTTCAACACACAACCATGTACATCTCGACACCCATCTCTCTGTGTTCAACACACAACCATGTACATCTCGACACCCATCTCTCTATGTTCAACACACAACCATGTACATCTCCACACCCATCTCTCTATGTTCAACACACAACCATGTACATCTCGACACCCATCTCTCTGTGTTCAACACACAACCATGTACATCTCCACACCCATCTCTCTATGTTCAACACACAACCATGTACATCTCCACACCCATTTCTCTATGTTCAACACACAACCATGTACATCTCCACACCCATCTCTCTATGTTCAACACACAACCATGTACATCTCAACACCCATCTCTCTATGTTCATCACACAACCATGTACATCTCCACACCCATCTCTATGTGTTCAACACACAACCATGTACATCTCAACACCCATCTCTCTATGTTCAACACACAACCATGTACATCTCCACACCCATCTCTATGTGTTCAACACACAACCATGTACATCTCCACACCTATCTCTCTATGTTCAACACACAACCATGTACATCTCCACACCCATCTCTCTATGTTCAACACACAACCATGTACATCTCCACACCCATCTCTATGTGTTCAACACACAACCATGTACATCTCCACACCTATCTCTCTATGTTCAACACACAACCATGTACATCTCCACACCCATCTCTCTATGTTCAACACACAACCATGTACATCTCCACACCCATCTCTCTATGTTCAACACACAACCATGTACATCTCCACACCTATCTCTCTATGTTCAACACACAACCATGTACATCTCCACACCCATCTCTCTATGTTCAACACACAACCATGTACATCTCCACACCCATCTCTCTATGTTCAACACACAACCATGTACATCACCACACCCATCTCTCTATGTTCAACACACAACCATGTACATCTCCACACCCATCTCTCTATGTTCAACACACAACCATGTACATCACCACACCCATCTCTCTATGTTCAACACACAACCATGTACATCTCCACACCCATCTCTATGTGTTAAACATACAACCATGTACATCTCCACACCCATCTCCATGTTCAACACACAACCATATACATCTCCACACCCATCTCTCTATGTTCAACACACAACATTAACATGTACATCTCCACACGTGTTCAACACACAACCGTGTAGATCTCCACACCCATCTCTCTATGTTCAACACAAAACCATAACATGTACATCTCCACACCCATCTCTCTATGTTCAACACACAACCATGTACATCACCACACCCATCTCTATGTGTTAAACATACAACCATGTACATCACCACACGTGTTCAACACACAACCGTGTAGATCTCCACACCCATCTCTCTATGTTCAACACAAAACCATAACATGTACATCTCCACACCCATCTCTCTATGTTCAACACACAACCATGTACATCACCACACCTATCTCTCTATGTTCAACACACAACCATGTACATCTCCACACCCATCTCTCTATGTTCAACACACAACCATGTACATCTCCACACCCATCTCTCTATGTTCAACACAAAACCATGTACATCTCCACACCCATCTCTCTATGTTCAACACACAACCATGTACATCTCCACACCCATCTCTCTATGTTCAACACACAACCATGTACATCTCCACACCCATCTCTCTATGTTCAACACAAAACCATGTACATCTCCACACCCATCTCTCTATGTTCAACACAAAACCATGTACATCTCCACACCCATCTCTCTATGTTCAACACACAACCATGTACATCTTGACACCAATCTCTATATGTCCTACACATAATCATGTACATCTCGACACCCATCTCTCTGTGTTCAACAAACAACCGTGTAGATCTCCCCACCCATCTCTCTATGTTCAACACACAACCATGTACATCTCCACACCCATCTCTCTATGTTCAACACACAACCGTGTAGATCTTCCCACCCATTTCTCTATGTTCAACATACAACCATGTACATCTCCACATCCATCTCTCTATGTTCAACACACAACCGTGTAGATCTCCCCACCCATTTCTCTATGTTCAACACACAACCATGTACATCTCCACACCCATCTCTCTATGTTCAACACACAACCATGTACATCACCACACCCATCTCTCTATGTTCAACACACAACCATGTACATCTCCACACCCATCTCTCTATGTTCAACACACAACCGTGTAGATCTCCCCACCCATTTCTCTATGTTCAACATACAACCATGTACATCTCCACATCCATCTCTCTATGTTCAACACACAACCGTGTAGATCTCCCCACCCATTTCTCTATGTTCAACATACAACCATGTACATCTCCACATCCATCTCTCTATGTTCAACACACAACCGTGTAGATCTCCCCACCCATTTCTCTATGTTCAACACACAACCATGTACATCTCCACACCCATCTCTCTATGTTCAACACACAACCATGTACATCACCACACCCATCTCTCTATGTTCAACACACAACCATATACATCTTGACACCAATCTCTATATGTCCTACACATAATCATGTACATCTCCAAACCCATCTCTATGTGTTTAACACACAACCATGTACATCTCTACACCCATCTCGCTATGTTTAACACACAACCATGTACATCTCCACACCCATTTCTCTATGTTCAACATACAACCATGTACATCACCACACCCATCTCTATGTGTTCAACACACAACCATGTACATCTCCACACCCATCTCTCTATGTTCAACACACAACCATGTACATCTCCACACCCATCTCTCTATGTTCAACACACAACCATGTACATCACCACACCCATCTCTCTATGTTCAACACACAACCATGTACATCACCACACCCATCTCTCTATGTTCAACACACAACCATGTACATCACCACACCCATCTCTCTATGTTCAACACACAACCATGTACATCACCACACCCATCTCTCTATGTTCAACACACAACCATGTACATTACCACACCCATCTCTCTATGTTCAACACACAACCATGTACATCACCACACCCATCTCTCTATGTTCAACACACAACCATGTACATCTCCACACCCATCTCTATGTGTTCAACACACAACCATGTACATCTCCAAACCCATCTCTATGTGTTTAACACACAACCATGTATATCTTGACACCCATCTCTATATGTTCAACATACAACCATGTACATCTCCACACCCATTTCTTTATCTTCTACACATAATCATGTACATCTCCACACCCATCTCTATATCTTCTACACATAATCATGTACATCTCGACACCCATTTCTTTATCTTCTACACACAACCATGTACATCTCGACACCCATCTCTACATGTTCTGCACATAATCAGGTACATCTCGACACCCATCTCTATATGTTCTATACATAATCAGGTACATCTCGACACGTTTCTCTATATGTTCTACACATAATCATGTACATCTCGACACCCATCTCTACATGTTCTGCACATAATCATGTACATCTCGACACGTTTCTCTATATGTTCTACACATAATCAGGTGCATCTCGACACCTATCTCTACATGTTCTACACATAATCATGTACATCTCGACACCCATCTCTACATGTTCTACACATAATCATGTACATCTCGACACCCATCTCTACATGTTCTGCAAATAATCATGTACATCTCGACACCCATCTCTACATGTTCTACACATAATCATGTACATCTCGACACCCATCTCTATATGTTCTATACATAATCAGGTACATCTCGACATGTTTCTCTATAATGAATGAATAAATGATCTTTATTTCCTCCATTAATTTCGGAGAGTGATATACATTTGGAATCATGTTAACACAACATATTTACACGAACATTATGCAGAGAAATTGGCAATACTGAATATTTACATGTCGTGGCCCTGGTATGAGATATACTGTCTATAGATAGAGCATTGATCGCAGGTTCCAGGAGCTTATGTCTCGTGATACAGAAGATATGAATTCAGCCCATCTGTCAAGGCTCATATCCTCTACAATAGGGGTTATACCACCTAGCAATGTCACAAGTTTGACTTCGTCATCTGCACAGTCCTCAATACGCATGTATTGTTCGAGGTTTAAAGAGTCAAATAGATGTTCATAGAGGGTGTTCCTTGCATCAGCTAAAGCTGTACAACATAGCAGTTGGTGCTTTATTATGTCATCGCACTCCTCATCACACATTAAACACTGCCCAGGTGTTATTGGTAGTGTTCCTAGTTTCACAAGTGCATACATTGGTCTGGTTGGTATATTGTACAGAATACACATATTCCACAGTCTATGAGGTACAAGCTTACTGTGAAATTTAAAAAAATCTGTTTAATTCAGGGTGATCTCGCAGACTCGTGTGCCAATGAGCAGTTTCATGTTCTGTTATTTTAGTCTGTACGGTTTTGTTCCACACATCCTTGGATGGAAACTGGTTAGTTTTCATAAAGTGAACTATTATGGTCCATAATTCTTTGCCACATTGAGTAGATCATGTGTTACAGACTTACTTTTGTCACTGCCTGTTATATATTGAGCACACTTGAAATAGAACACCTTTTTCGGGGCATATCTGTGGCTGCTTCTACACATCATCCCAAGGAACATCAGCTTCATTTTGTCAATCACAGATGTCATTGTCCACAATCCCAGCGTCTGAATAGTTGCAACGGTCGGAGATCTTACATGAAAAGTTTGTACATTACGCGTAGAAGGCACCTGTAATTATTACTCTACGCCATATGTTCATACAGCAGACTGGGTTCAGACCACCTGCTCTTAGTCCAATATCTCTCAGGGAATTCAAATTCTTCCTCGCCTTGGCGCAAGCTCTCCTGGTCCTTTCGGATTCTAAATGAGTACTGATAATAGAACCTGCATATATTGTGTTCGATTTCATTTCCAGTATATGGTTACCTAGTCTAAAAGAACATGGTTGGTTGATTTTGTTTCCACCTTTAAACACCAGACCACAGCTTTTGCTTGCATTATATGTCAATCTCCATTGGCAAGCATATTGATGTACAGTCTGTAAGGACATGCATAGACCACTACTTGTTGAGCTTATGAGAGTTGTGTCATCCGCGAGTAGGACAACTGGGAAGTGATCACGTCCAAGCATAACACCGTGTTTCAAATGGTCAAGGCGGATTATAAGCTCCTTAATATACACAAGGAACATCCAGGCGGATAAGACACGTCCTTGTCCTACACCTTCTCCGATTGGGAACGTTCGACTTGTCTCACCGGCATATTTGACACATGCAGTAGATTCGTGATACGACTGACGTATGATATGCCAGGCTTTCCCTTGCACACCAAGGATGAATAATTTTAGGAGTAGTCCATTGTGCCAAATGCGATCAAACGCTTTCTCATTATCAAGAAACGCAGTGTATACATTGGAAGACCTTTCCGTGTAGAAAGATATGACTTCTTTGAGTATGTAGGTAGCTATGTTTGCACCATGTTCTCGCCTGAAGCCACATTGTAATCTATGTGGGAAGTCGGGCTCCATATATTTGATATATATCTCAATTCTCTCTAATAGGATCTTTTCGAACAGTTTTCCCACCACGGACGTCAGAGTGATACCTCTGTAATTTGTAGGATCCGATCTGTCCTTATTGTTTTCTTTATATATTGGAATAATTGTTCCAGATCTCAACAGTGCAGGGCTGAAGCATGTTCATATCATCATGTTAAACAGCTGGGTTAAGTGTTTTAGAAGCATATCTCCATCGAAATAGATATGTTCATTTGTGATTTGGTCCGGTCCTGGTGATTTTCTCATTTTTAAGCTTTGTTTCAGTCGTTTAAGTTCGTGTATTTCTTTGTCTCTCTTCAGTATAGGATCATCGTCCAGAAGTTGTATCTTTGAGATGTTGTTTATTCTAGAGTCCGTCTCAACACGAAAGTCGTTGTCAAGCTCCGGCCGGTCAAGAGGTGATAATAAATCTGCATAGTAGTCTGCCCACAAGTTGCACACCTCTGATGGTGTATTGCAACAGCGTTCTTTGTACTTGAGGTGTGTATTTACAGTCTTAGATTGTCTTTGTTTCTTTACAATCCTGTAGAATTCAGCAATATCTACTTCACATGCTGAGTTTATTTCAATATATTTTTCTTTATTCCATTGTCTCTCAGTCTGTCTTTTGCAACGTCGGAAGTCACATTTAGCCTGTTTGTATAGGGTATACGAGTCGTTACCGGCACCCCGAGGCCTGTCTTCTGCTGACCACAATCTTTTCGCCTGGCGCATCTTGTAATGATAGAGGTCAAGATTTGAACTCTTCCAGTAAGGTTTCAGGTGAGCTCTGTAGTGTCCACGTGATATGAACTTAGCAGCAGACGTCTTTAGTGCGCTGACAATCGAGTCAAAATAACTCTCTATTACATCAGCTCCTATACTCCCAGTGTCAAGCATTACATCACCAAGCAATCTGTGAACCTCGGCTTCATACATACTTAGTTCTAAGTGACTAGCTTTTGTCCATTTGTAATGAGTCGACGGCATGTCCGCTTTACATGTAGTGCTGTTTAGCTTGTCATCATGTATGGACACTATAACAGGGAAGTGATCAGACACATCGAAAGGAGTTGAATC